TCTGCTGGGCCGTTAACTCGGAGCAATTTCGAAAATTATAGTGAAGGCTCTTGTAGGAGACGAAGCAAAAGCTTTCACGCCAACGGGATGCAAACTCACTAGAATTTGGCTTTGAAGCGAGACCACTACCACTAGGCCACGGTGACACTGGCCATTGAGCGATCAGCAACGCTTACGAGACAAAACCGGGGTTTGTCTCGTAAGCTAAGGTCGCAATCTTTGACCGCCCAGAACTCGTCTGGGAGGTCCCCGTAGCGTTTTTAATCTGCATATTCGTAATCAGCATTCGAGACTATCGATGTACCTAGGTCTTCATTCAAAGTTCCATGGGAAGTTCAAACAGGGTGCAGCATCGTTGTGTCAAACCCATGGGGGGGGGGGTCGTACCTGGCCGATGGAGAGGGGAGGGGGTCGTAATCTCAAGGGTCACTCAGAGCCGAGCAATGGTTCGACATTTCAGTTGATAGTGGGAGTGGAGCTATGGAAGTCAAGATGTTCAAAAAAATGAAGTTTATTATGAGTGTATTCTTTACAGCTTTGAATGCTACGTTTGACAGCCGCTCTCTTTTTAATGGAAATCTCCGAAGGAATGGTTTCGTATTTGGCCGCTGGTGGTACGTGAGGGGAAGTATACGCAAAAGTAGGCTCGCTAGCCCCAGCAGCCAGCGGCTATCAAACAAGTACAAAGGTGTTCACTGCTAAGGGTGTAATGGAAACGGACGGAAGAATTTAGAGACTGGCCGGAGGTAAATAGGCAATACAAAATAATAATAAGAATTCATTAGTCACTATAGCAAGAATATATATAAATAGAATAAATAGAGTGATCAGTTAGTATAGCATGATTGTAAGTACGTTATTGACTAAATATTAGTGTTCAAACATATTCAGCTGCGTTGTTGTCCTTTAAAAACCCTAAAAAATCATCTGCTGAAGTGGATAAAGCACCCCTGAAATCGAATTTTAAACTTTTCGACCACTTCTTGGGTAGGTGAAGAGCCTAATTGACACGGCGCCACGGTACCAAGATCTATCAGAGATGCCGAGCTTCTCTTTCACTAGGTTGAAGGAAATATGTTGTTTTTGAAGGCACACTGAGAGTTTCTGAAGGTGTGATCCTCACAAATGTGGCACATATAGGAGTCAATTTAGTTCGGGTGGGTTCATCGAGCGGGTGGTATCGATCGTGACCCATCTAAAGAATAATCCGCCGACCTGAACTAGCGTTCTTCAGAAAATTCGGATAAAGCTTATTGGATAGAGAAAGGTATTGCGAGGGGTGTCCAAGACGACTTTAGTCTGATGAATTGGCGTTTGATACGAAGCGAGTCTTGTGTGAATCATGGAAACCAGGCTCGCGATTTACCTGGTTCCGAACCGATGAGCCATCCGGAATTATGTCGACCACGGCGGATTGTCAGCTTTGCAGCTAAAGGAATAGAACACTAATAAGTAGAAACTTATTGCTCGTGCATGCTTGTCCACCATATCCTCAAAAGCTCCGCACTAGAGAAAAGAATATTTGACCCCCCGCCCCTCCCCCCCGGCCGACGACCCAGGACTTTGGCACAGTCAACAATCGCGCTCCAATGAGTGTTTTTCCAAAGAAGCCGGTCGCGAGACCTGATTCGATAAAGCCACTTTATGGGAACGTGATTTGATGCACGGCTGGTTTTCTTTTTTCAATTTAGCTCCTGCTAGTTTTTTTGTACTTTCCATGCGTTGCCTTTGTTGGTGTGATGTTTAAAATTATTTATCCCGTTACCATTCATTGAATGCACATTCTGGGCGCGTGGACCGCTCTCACCCTGGGGCTATTTTTTTTCAGCCTGATTCAGGTATTCAATGAACATTAGCCGTTCTATTTCGTTGTGAGCTTCCCTCTCGATTACAAAGTTGCACGTCATAACATAGTATCGAAGAGAGATGTATTACTTTGGAATCTTAAAGACAAATGTTGTAGCTGTGATGCGGAGGCTGTTTGTCAGCCTCATATTTGCATGAGGACTGCAGACAGCCTGTTAGTTTCCTTTTTTAGAGCGCAGAGTGCGCCTTTCGAGAATCCATCGATTCCATGTTTGGAAGCCATGTGGTGAACATGATTGGATTGCAAGTTACCAGCAGCAGGGAGGACGATTCGTAGCTGACCCTCTTCGCACGGGGCGGGGTGCGTCACCACCACCCCCAGTATTGACACTAGTCCCCCCATGCTGTATCTGAGTTTTCGAACCCATTCTATGTAAGTGGGCCGTAAGTTCTTTGGGTGGGGAGGCTGGTTCCAAGATGTGGTTAGGGATTGTTAGATATTCCCGGGTACAAGACTAAAAGATGGGGCAATTACCATGTCGGTTAACGTCTTACGAAATCCGCCTTTGTAAAACCTCCCTTCACTGCCATCATAGTAGTCCGTCGCATTGACTGTTCGCAAAGCAAACGGGAGTGACTGCGCATGACATCGGGGGATAGTTACCCTAAGTAACATGCTGTTTTGCCAAGAGAGGAGTTATCAGTGGGAAAGGGTGGGCGTAAACTGGAAGCAGGCCTCTTTGCTTGCATTATAGCAAAACATTAGAATGGCATGAAAAAAAGATCCAAAGTTGTTTACTTTCTATGGAGAGATAAGGTACCAGGGCGTGTCAAATGAGACATGTGGTTTTTAGAGGTGTACTGAACGGATTTCTCACAGTGTGAATCGACCATATCGCGGCGCGGTAGAACGTTAGAGACTATAGTGGATCATGGCCAGGAGTTCGAAGATCAATAGAAGGGGGGGAGTATTGGCGAAGTCTCACGGAGTGGCGCCGCTCGCAGTCTGGCGGGTTGTTGATTCTACGGGGTCGATCCCCGAGGCCCGCTTGCGGCCGGGGTCGGGGGCTTGGAGTACAATACATCATAGTTGATGTGGTGAGCGGGTTTTGCAGTGCGGACGTGACTGGGGTAGGAGTGAGAGAGTTATGGAGGTAGTGTTAGATCTATCGGGTCAACCTTTGGAGTGTCCCTCAGGACTAAGGTACCTATTTAGCACTTTTCCAGGTGGAACGGCAGGTGAACAGAGTGGACCTATTGTGGGTCGAGACTTCTAAGGTTTAGATCTTATCGCTCTATCCCGAGTCGTAACTGTAGTCTCACTACGCATCTTTTAAGTCCCTATTGATACTTTCCTGTAGGTTGAAATAGTGTGGCCTCTCCACCGCAACTCGCGCCCCCCACGAACCAGCTTTGCCAAAACCTGAAAAACCCCACTCGCCCGATTTCCACGCTTGAACAAGGATGACGACCTAAAGACTACGACTTAACATCTTAGCCGCGCAGCTAAAAACAATCGGTTGGGCTAGACCAGTAACTGAACATGCTACTCTTTTGAATAAGTACAAGGCGCATGCGGAGAAATAAATAATCAGGCGATTCGATCTGTAACAGATATTAAATGAAGCATTACTACGTCAGTGAAATATGTATACGTGGAGGTTAACCAATAATCAGAGTAATAATGAGTACTCCACTGCAGTAAATCTGATCGCTGGAGGAACCGAAATCATCAAATCAAGCAGAGACTCAATGCAGTCACTCGTCGACAAAGTAGAAAAAGAGCTCGATGAGGCGAGAACTAAAGGAACAAGAAGGATCTCGTCAACGACATCGAAGAAATAGACCGAGATTGTCAGTTCACGGAAAAAATAGTTCGTGCAGATGAAATGATATACTATACGTGCTTGAAGCACGTCTCACAGAAAATCAAAATAAGTTGATCAAACTTAGTCAGAGGTTGGGCGTCGACCCGCATAAGTGCGAAATAAGCCAATAAAAACCTGCAACACAACAGCTACAAAAAAAGATGGCAGCGATCCATTTAAAGAGCCTGCCGATGAAGTCGAAGCAAACGCAGACCCCGCGTGGCTGTCAGAAGACCTTTCCGACAACAATCAAGTCGGCAGAGAAAACGTAATATGTTGCACATTGAAACCAAGCCAGTTGAAAATGCCGAGATTCTACGAAAAGGAAGAAGATTTTCCAGAATCTGGGCAATCTTCCGGACACTCGTACATGAAAATAAAGCGCTGAGCACGGTAGAAAAAAATGTTGCTCTTGAAAGATAGCTTGCGAGGAAAAGCGGAAATATATGTAAAAGGCATACAATCAGTGCCAAAAAACTATGGCTGGATGATCAAAGATATGGAGAAAAATATGAGAACAAACCCGCCAATAGAGCTGAAATTTTCCCAAAAGGTAATTGATTTACGTCCTGCAGCCAACAATGCAGATGCGTGTAACAACGTCTTTGACAGAATCAGAGCGCTGATAAACCAAATGGTTTCAGCAGGTCAAGACATTCGTTATGCACAAGATGCTCTATGGACGGAGAAAATACCTGGAAAATTTCCGTAAAGCATCGTCAAACGTTCTAATCGCCACCCAAGATAAAGGAAACGCGAATCGAAGACATAATGGACGAACTAGAGAAGTAAATCGAAGCAAAGAAATACGTAGAGTCAAGGCTACGCAGTTTTCCCATGACTACCAGGGAAAAAAGGACAGGTCCTTCAAAGAACAAAGGGACAAGGACAAAAAGCTCTGCGTGTTTTGCAAAAATACAAACCACGCATCAAGTGCCTGCAGAACTGTAGCAAACATTTGTGAAAGGCGAGAAATCTTGGAAAAAAGAGCAGCGCTGCTGGAAGTGCTTTGCTGACAACCACAAAAGCAGCGAGTGTTCCAAGGCAAACTGCTTACGTTGCAAACGGATGCATGATAATAGTGTATGCTTTTCCACCGATTCAATGCAACGGAAACGGTTTTACCAATCAGAATGAAGAAAAACCTTCTCAGCGGGCTACACACATCAATAATCAAGAACAGAAAGGCCCGTATGGAATGGTGGCCCATCCAATGACGCTCGAAATAACAGACCTTGGCAAAACAGAGCAACAGCCAATAATGCCTGTGTCGATGTCGACAGCACTAATGATCCTACTACTAGAAGGAAAGAACAAATCGTTCTAATGACAACGGAGGGAAGCGTGTGGAACCACAGAACGCAACAATTCAAGAAAATACTCTTCTTCTTCGATACAGGAAGAGAACCCACCCCAGAGAACACACTGCAGAAGATCTCGCATTTCCCAAAGAATCAAGCAATATGTGCAATGTCGGGAATCGGCGGGCATGTAGAAAAGTTCCGAAGCAGTGTTGTAACGCTCAAAATTTGCACTGCTTATGGCATGGAAATCATCATAAGAGCGCAAACCAAACCAGTAATCACCAGTGGATTTTCATCGGTGAACTATCAAAGGAAGATTAACACTTCTTGCAACTAAACGAGCTCTGCATATGCAACCCTCGAGTGCAAGGTGAACATCAAACGCTGCACATACTGGTTGGACGATTACCACTATCGATTCGTCCCACCATATAGCCAGATTATAAAACTGCCTTCTGGGTTGCACATTGCAAAAACAGCAAGCTTCGGCCTCAGCATACATGCTCGTGGAATCTTATCAATAGGATCTCGAACAAACACATCAAAGACCAATGATCATCGTGGCTTATCTGAAGACTTGCAACCCGACTCAGTGTGCAACAACTTACCGCTATCAATGAACCAACAGAGGCAGAGATGCTCAACAAACTATTTGAATGACAAGGTCTTGGGATTCCCCCAGAAGAAATAGCAAGAAAAGAGAACACCTTCTCATACTTCCAAAACTATTCAAAGAAAATACGGATCCACGTGGTTGATCTCTCCAACAATTCATTTCTCTGTGGAAACATCTACAGACCAACAAAGAACAGCAGAAATGGTACACACAAATCTTCCAAGAGTACGGATCTACCAACGTGATTAAAAGTGCAAGAGAAGATGTTACCAATTGCGTCGGCTGTTACTACATGCCACTCAGGTGTATGGCGCCCCTCTAAGCCAAAACCACTTCGAATAGTATACGACGCATCCTCCAAGCGAAACAGTCTGCTTTCGCTGAACGATCTCATTCACACCGGACAATCGTTCGTGAAGAAAATTCACGACATTTCAATTGCAAGCCGAACCAGGAAAACAATACTCACAGTACTCATGTGTGATTCAACTCGCGTTCACTCACATGAGAAGATCTCTGCAGCCCATGGTTCAAAGATCCAAATAAGCCACCAACGCGTGAAAATGTAGCGGAGTACCGCTTCACACGCCTACCGTTCGGTCTGACAGCATCTCCTAGCATTCTCAATTATATTAGCGTATTTAAACCATAAAAACACAGAGATAGCAAAGGAAATCATGGACTATTTATATGTAGATAATATTCTACTCCGAGTCAATGCCGTAGAAGAGGCTCTCCGGAAATACAAGGAGTCGAAAGCAGTATTTGCGTAGATTACCATGAACTTGCGTGAGTACATATCAAACTCGAGCGAAGTCAATGCTGCCATCCCAGGAAACGATCGTCTACATGGGAAAGTAATAAAACTCTTGAGAGTGGACTGTAACACAGAAACAGACGAGTTTCAAGTGAGCACTCGAATAACGCGGCTAACGAAAAGTGTTATTGTTAGCCAACTAAACTCAACCTATGACCCTATCGGTTTAATGGGACCGTTGACCACGATGACACGGAGTATGGAAAATCCTATAGGAATTCTGCGACGCTAGCAAGAGCGGCGTGTGCATATTTGCAAAACAACAAGACTTATGCGATTTTCCAGCTAATAAGTGGTAAAACACACCTAGCACCGAAAGGCTGTTCAAGCTATACCAAGGTTAGAAGTGCTCGGAATCCCAGTCGGCATAAGGTTAGCAAAGACACTACAAAGCAAATTGGGAGTGAATATTTCTAATGTCATCATTGCATCTGACAGCGAAATAACGCTAGCGTGGTTAAAATCAACACGCAAACAGCCTCCACTTGTAACCAACCAGAAGAAACGCCTAATTAATACTAAGCAACTCATGGAAGAAGCAAAAAAGACGAGTGTACAGGGGTGGCGAATAAAAAAGTCACTCTTCTTAGTTGACTTTCGAGACGCTATAGGTTACACTTTATTGAATTCTGATTGGACATTTCCACAACCATGTTGAAGAGCATATTAAATACTATCATGACACTCCGCCACAGCCTTGTGGACGAACGCCATCGAGAGATTCTGGCACGCGACCGCGATGTGGTGCCTGAGATCAGCGAGATAGTCGATTTCTCCGCCACCGTAGACCACCCTGTTGAACTCCGCCCGAACCGTGTAATTAAGGGAGTTTAGGCCAGGTGACCTAGGATATTCCTTCTTCTTTAGGTACTCAACGCCCTTCCATTCCAAGTAAGTGAGAGTTTTTCCAACGTCCTCCGATTCCGTGTGGTGGCACCCAGTGCTGTAGGAGTACAAAGTTTCCAAGAAGGTACGGGCGACGTCATGTGGGGAGGATATTCTTCTCGACTTGCTTGATGTAACCGCCAGCGCTCACTTTCAGTCCGGAGTCCGCGAAGAAAATATCGCCTTTCCATACCAGGTACGTCCGGCCCATACCATCAACTCATGCCTTGGCGACTGTGATGAAGATGATGTCCTAGACCGTAGCGACGTTGTCGGGATTGCTCGATGCTGGAGTTCTTCCAGATCGAGAGTACTAGTCTCCAGGTAGCTGTCCATGGATGACTCCATACCGGAAGTTTCGCAGCTATTTGGAGGTGACATGAGTTCCGAAGGTCTTCTCCAGTCAGGTTGCGACTGGAGATGACTTCATATTTTTGTGTACATGAAGGTGGTAGGCGGGAGCCTGCTTCTGCTTATCGAGGAACATCTTGGGTATCTTGCGCCCTGGTACTCGTATCCACGTCCTCTGTTGGGGCTGCGAAAACTTTGCTGATATGTGACTGCGACGAAAGCTACTTTTTTTATTGCCCCCCCCCCTGTTTGCTTCTACTATTTCCCCTACTCATTGCCATCCAGCAGATGCTGGGACAAGAGGCCTCACAGCAAACACAGTTGCAAACCATAACTGGGTGAGGGGGCCCTCGATGGCTCGAGAAGGACCCAAAGCGTACTACACTGAGAAGCATAGAAAACAGAGTAAACGTCGACATAGTGAATATGGAAGAGATAACGCAGTCGACCGTAATCGTTTCATCCTGTCGTTACCACACCTCATCAACCGTTGATTGACACTACTCGATTTTCTAGGTATACGCGAGTTCTACGCACACTTGCAGTGGTAAGAAAAACTCTCCAAATGGGTACGTCGATGCAACCAAAACAGGGCTGCTCCCGTCGTATATAAGAGTTTCAGAAGTTCCTCAGAAGGCTTAGAAATTGACTCGGATGACACAGCGGCTGCAGAAGCCGCTGTGTCATCCGAGTCAGAGGCTGTCCGCTTCAGAACATCGAAAAACAAACGGAAGGGTTGCGATAACGCTTTCCCAACATAAGTATAATTAGGGATCAAAATGAGAATTCGATATGAATTCAAAATCCGCAGTGCGATATTACCACACGACAATATCGCCCACCTATATACCAAACAATTCGAATCTAAGCCGCTTGATAATAGCGCATACTCATCAAGCAAATGTTCACTGCGGCAAAGACCACCTCCTTGCATTACTATGGCAAAATTTTGGATCCCGCAGCCATCTAGAGCAATCAAAAAATATTGAAAAACTGTGTGATTTGCAGGCGCTGTAACGGGCTTCCGTTTGGAGCACCAGACATGACCTCGCTACCCAGAGACGTCGTGGTAGCGATGCCGTTCCAAAATTTCGACTGCGACTTCCTGGGTCCATACGACTCAAAGCAACAGGAAAATATGTATGTGTGCCTATACACGTGTCTCACAGCGAGAGCTGTACATTTGGAAGTTGTCGAGAAAATGACAGCGCTTGCTTTCCTCAACAGCTTTGTTCGCTTCACGTCAAGAAGAGGTGTTCCAAAATTGATACGCACCGATTGCGGCTCGAATTTCAAGCTCGGACAAACGGTTATTGGCCATCGCTTTCGGAACACTGACACAACCAACCAATCATGTCCTATGGCATAACATGGATTTTCAATCCCCCAAGCTCCCCGTGGATGGGCAGAAGTATGGTAACGCTTAGTCGGCTCGGTAAAAAGAGGCTTTCCGAAAGCGATGTGACGAAAAAGCTAACGTTTATTGAAATGACCACCGCAATCGCACGAATTGAGGCGATCTTGAACACTCGACCTCTTACCAAAATTAGTCTCATGGACATTGACGAAACCGCCACGTCCAATAGACTTTGTAAAAGGAAACCTCAAGTTTTCACTACCAGGTGCATATCAGACCTCTGACAGATCTGACTACGATTTCGATGCAGAGCTCAGTCAGTATCACAAGCCAAAGAGGCAATTGCATCAGCCGAAACGATACCAGTTCAGTTTTGGGAGAAGTGGAATACAGAATACCTCACTGCCTTGAGGGACTGCCACACAAAAAACTCCAATCAACCGAGACATCTCTTCAAATTCCCACAAATAGAAGAATTTGTGAAAGAACAAGAACTGCTACCTAGAGGCAACTGGTTCTACGGGAGAATAAAAGAGCTTATAAGGAGCGCTGACGGCATGGTAAGATCCGCCAAACTCGGCATGCCTAACCATACAGAACTGCACAGGCTTGTCAACAAAATTTATCCTTTTGAAACTCGATCGTATGCCGAAGCAGAGGAGGAAGGCTCAGAAGCAGAGCCGGCCGCTACACAATCTAGGCTGGAAAAAGTGGTTGATGAGGTAAAAGACCTCGCCACAGCAGAACCAACTGATCCTCCAATAGCTCTTCGAAGAACCAAGAAAGATCATCAGAAACTCGAGCTTACGAGGAGGTGCGAGACTTCGAAAGAGATCTCGATGACCAGTTCACCTAATCAAGTACATACTGCTCAAAGCGGACAACTTGCAATCCTTATGTGCGTAATAAGTACAGCGTCGGCTAATAACAACCTTATATGTACCGACGAATCGGCAATCGTCAACATCCAGGACGCAAGTTTTGAACTTTGTTTCAACAAAGAATGCAGTACTTCCATAAACATGGCGAGGAAATTAGTCCTTGAAGTGCCACCTTCTCCTTTTCATAAGCTCGCTACGGTGCCAACTAGAATTCTGAAAACCAACGCTAACGAAACCGTAGAATGTCCTCCCATAGCACTGCGAACATGCGAGCAAACTCATGACTCTCTAATAGGCAACCTACACTGTTGGCCTATTGCGGCAATAGCTACTTTGCCATAATAACATACATCCTAGAGGCGGAGGTGGTGTAATGACAAGTGGCGCGCTTACCACTCGCGCAGCGCCGGGTTCAAATCCCGGGTCGACTCCTGCCCAGGCCAACCAAGCCTTCTACCCCCCGGGGACGGTAAATTGGTACCAGATTCGTCTGGGAGGATAAAACACTAACTTGTACATTGGCTGGCCACCGTAAGTCATTGTATAGGCCACATCGCATTCAGTAAGCCACCACGATTCTGAATGGAAGTGGAATGCGGCGAATCCCTTTGTGCCGCATCCCACAAAGGGTTTGATCAACAGCGAAGACTATCCTTTTTTATTTAACACATCCTTGGAACTACCATGTTGATAAGCGCAAAGATTATAAGGCAGCTGGTAGCCAGTCACCACAACAACATAAGTACTGCTCAAGAAATAGTTGTCATGAATTCCTTCAATCTAGGCCGCTGAGCGTCTCCACAGGAGTAACAACAATGGTGGTTATCTTTGCCATATTGAGCAGCTCACAAGCCTGTCAACACAGGTATATGAAACACGCTGTAGATCTGATCTGCAACAATAAAGGGAACTGCTCCTACGAGTATAGTCAAGAAGTCCTGTTCAACCACATCCAGTCGGAACTCTGTATCAACTCCAGATACGAAAACAGAATGGAGTGAAAAATCCGACGAAAACCGCTCAAATTGCTCCTATTCTTCACGCGAGACACGAAGCATAAAATCTTTCACTAAACGATCTGCTGAGGCAGGACTCTGTACTCGAAACAGGTGTGATACCTTGACAGCTAACGAAAACTTAGAAACGGCAGGTAGAAAATAAATATCAGGGATACACTGCTTGGGAGCACTCTTGCGGTAGACTCCCTCAATCGAATTCGAAGTAGAATTCAAAGTCCACATTATGGAGCAGCACAGGGAATCACTCTCATGCCATACGTCACATCGCATGAAGAGATAGTCACAGTGATATCAGTTCAGAGACCAAGTGCATCCCTGTTCCATCAACGCTTTGCAATCTCACAGGAAGAGGCTCTAGTAATTCCTAACAACTTTGAGCTTTCCTAACAATTTTGGAGCTACCGGTGCGCTGCCCTACGGCGAATGCCACAAACGTGTCATTATCCACAACAAGCAATAAGGGACATCAGAACAGAGATAGAAATCGGCTACCAATATACACTCCATCTGTAGATCTGAGCTATGACAATATGCAGATTTACGCTCACTACACGAAGTGCGAGGTAACCCTTGCCATCAAATCAAGCTTACTGATCAATAGTGCGGAATTCGTCATAGAGCAACAATGTCCCGTTGAGCTCAGCACCGTGAAGGGTTGCTACTGCTGTCAAGAAGGAGCTGAGCTCACAGCATATTGCACTACAGCACTTGAATCCACCGTCACAATCCAGTGCGAAAACTTAGCATTTACGGTGGAGTGCGATCCCTCCAATAGAACATCAAAAATCGCACTACAATTCGATAAATCCCTCTCGCGCAAAAATGCTTTGTGATAAGAAGGAACTATCCTTCGAACTGGGAGAACAATTACATTTCCACGTGAGATATTCCCCGACAATGTGTTTGAAGAAGGGAATATTGAATCGGCAGCATGACCATCATTAAAAGTTTCCATGCTCTAGATTTGGAACCAATAATAAATGTGTTTAAAAACAAGTGGAAACTAACACTTGCATTAGGAATCACCTACATGATTGGGTCAATTACTATTGTAATAATTGCAAAAATAAAGAACTCAAGAATTCATTTTCTAATGAGGTTAATAAAGGATATAGCCAAAAGAATCAAAGAATGGTCAGAAAGAACAAAAGTGACCGTCATCGACTCAAATAACCTAGTGAATTCCGGTACCGAATGCAGCGCATCTGCCCACATAACCGGTGTTACTTCGGTACCAGATGTATCATATCCTGTCACCAGCATCGACTACAATATCTATCAACTCATATCCATGACACGAATCAACGCCCTCATCACACCACGTTCCCGCCGGAAAATTTTATGGGCTTTACTCCATAACCGTTCGATCTGATGTTGATGATACTACGTTTCTCATTACTGACTAGGTTTTAGTGATTTTGCTTCATTCATCGAGGGTTTTGTCGCCCATTCATCTACGGGTTTTTGTTAACCACTTAGTGTTTACGTTGATACTAGGTCTTGAGGATTTATTAGTCACACTTTTCACTCCTGCACGCAAGCACGCCACCTGCTCAATCCCGCTTCCCAATCCTACGGCCCAGAGGGCTTGGAAAGACTTGTTAAAAAATCATTAGTTTCACAATTCAGTGTGAGGGGGTGCACGGAGTGTCTCGCTCCGCGCGACCTCTTTGGATACAATTATTGCGAGGGAGTCGCCACCTCTTTGATAGCATTATTTGTTAGGGTCGCTCAAATCCCCTTGATGCCATTATCTGCGAGGCGCTCATTTAGACTCTCCTAGTTACGCTAGAACGCTTTTAGACTTTATTTATTATTTGTAAGATGTGTTTGCTCCCTTTCATCAGCTTTGGGCGCCTATAAAAAAGGGTGCCCGGCTGATACGAGGCGCATTACCAAGAGTTCGGTTCGAAATAAACTTAAAGTACCAACTCTTACTAAAACCACTGATCGCACAGAAACACAAGCTCCTGATCGGGACACACTTTTAGAAAGTGTTTTACGAATCTACCAGAGTTTTCATGGCCCAACCATATGCAGGTATTCGTGCGCTATAGGGGATATATAAGAACTCGAAGAATTTGCGCAACAGTCAAAACATAGGGGAAATTTTAGGCTTCTGAAGATCGTGACACACCATGTGTGGTCACGCGGTCGAATGTGCTATGAACTCGACTACCAGCAATCGTGGGTTTTTTCTTGAGATGTATCATTGATATTTTCGACGCGGTTTTGAAACTGGCCTTGTAACGTTGTTGTGTTACAATTCGCTGCTGAATCTGCAACAGGGAACTCGGGGACGAGTTTCCCCACTACTTTGGGGCGGGCTTCTTGGCTCGGGCGCACCACGTTCAACACAATAGGGTAGTGATTTCTCATCTGCTGTTTGTTATAAAAATGGTGTGAGCGTCTGGAAAGAATCGATCCTGTTCTCTTGCTGTAACATTCATCTGGGATAGCCTACTTGTACATTTTAATCACATCTCCTTGAACCTGAATATTCAAAGATTAACCAGTTGTTTCATGTTTCGAATAATGTAAGCTTTAGAAAAACTCGCCTACTTTTGAACACTGCGGTGCTTTCCTAAATGTGAGTTTTTAACATCACCACAACGGCAAATGGAACTACTTGTTGCAGCAGAATAACAGCTTCTCACTTACACGAGATGAAACACTTGGCTTATCGTTGGTTTCCACATAACCTTCTACAACTTGTTCTCGTCCCTTTCTTTTGAGTGGTCCCCCATACTACGTTGTTCGGAAAAGTAATTACACGATAATCTTAGAATAAATGACGAGCTCGAAAGAAACCACAAAAAGTTCGCGTCAGTTCTGAAAACTTTCAGATTTATAATTCGATTCCACCAGCTACTACTTCCCTACTTCTTCCTTCTACTGAGTCTTCGGTGTCGTAAGCTTTGAAAGTGGCCTCATGACAAAGGATAGGTGAATAAATCCGGTGATTTGCATAGAACTGCTAAACGTAAGAGCTCATGCTTATTGGAAGTTGAAAGCACTCCGCGGTTAAGCATGATTTACTCAAAAAACATAAACTTCTGATCAGCCATAATCTGCCCTTGCTCTTAACAGTAAGTCTTGACATACACAAAGAAGCTTCGCATGTCAAAGAAACTTAACAAGCCATCGTAAGTATGATTGGATTACCCTTCATTTGTCTGTTAAAAAGAATCACGGGTAGAGCAAACTCGGCAGACTTCGTATCGTGTGAAAGGCAGTTTGTTTGTACAATGAATCAGTGCCGCTCATAAAAGGGGGATCGAGTCTTTGGCACCGCTTCTTTTTAGTTCCATCGATGGCGATTAGTTGGCATGTTTGCAAAGATCTAATGCAGGCCTGGTCTTCGTGCTTAAAGACACATGGTACGCTCACACACATTGAGGGTGTGCACGGGGTAAGAGTATAGGGCCATGGGAAAGTCTAATTCGTTCATGCTCCGCCTACCGTTTATGCTAACAGCCGTTCCGCGCCGCGCGTGTCGCGTGCAGCTCTCTTGGCTTTTTGCCAAGTCCTGTAATTGCCCTTTGGAATACAAGTAAAACGCAATTTCCTGATGCGGATAACATTTTAGGTGCTGCAAATGAAGAACCGAAGATGATGACGAGGGCTAGAACTCAAGAGCAACTGTGGTGCTTCTGCAACATCCCTCAGAGGCCGCGCATTCCCACAGAACATGAAAATAAAAACGGCCTAAGCTCGCACTCGTTAGTTTAAAGTATTTCTATGGCTTTGGAGCCGGATTCGAGCCGGATCGAAACGCACACGCGATTTTAACGAATTTGCGTTTCCTTGAATTTTTCGTTTTTGTTTTACTTACATCTACATTCGTTGTTCTTTATTTCTAGCCTTTCTCACCTTCGTTACCCTCTGTTCGGACTTTGCAGCATGAGCAACACCTCAAATGTTATTCGCATCAGTGCGTTTTGCTTGTATTCCAATGGGCAATTAGAGGACTTGACGAAAAGCCAAGAGAGCTGCGCGCGACACGCGCCGCGCGAAATGGCTGTTAGCGTAAACGGTAGGCGGAGCATGGACGAATTAGACTTTCCCACGGCCCTGTACTCTAACCCCGTGCAGTTTCGGGTGGGGAAACTATGACACATCGACGGCTGGGGGAGCTGATAGTCACATAAATCCCTTAATGTGTGTGAGCGTACCATGTGTCTTTAAGTTGAAGTAGTCTAGTCAGGCAGTGTAACGTACAGAAACTTCATATCTCCGATAGAGACAACTGCGCAGCCATGGGTGGGAGTGAAAAGAAGAACTCTACTTTGCTTCGTTCACGTCAGTGTGTCTCACGCAGGGAGCCTGCACGTGTTACCACCACCATCGACAAGACGTCCTCACTCTGAACCGTTTGTCCTACTCGTTTTTTGGTGCGATCTGCTACCTACGTCTCCTGACAAATTATCGGTGCAAAACCAGATTTCAGGAAAGTTTTTTGTCTGTTGATTTTCCTGTAGGCGCACATGATGCCTCCCCCCCCCCCTCCCATACTCGACATCATTGCATGCATCTAACAAGGGAGCTGTTAAATTACCAATGAACTTTGAGTGAAGACCTAGGTGATAAGAAAGAGTTTACAAATATGGCGATCAGAATAGTTGCCTGTCTCTGAATTGTCTCATACCTCGCATCTCACAAGCGAGTTATGAACAGGCGAAACCAAAGTGTTATTTGTTGAGGACTGATCACCAGGGCGTCTGTATCATGGACGTCGGACGTATTTACTCCAAACGGATACGGTATCCGGGTGCAGGAGGTTAAACTACCTGAGGGCTCAAGGCTCTAGCTGAAACGATATTTCATTGTTGTTCAAGGAAAACGACCACAATATGGGAGGGCAGTGGGGCATAGCGCTCGTAGAAGTACTATAAAATACGATTACACAGCCTGCACTAAATGTAATGACACTGCTGAAATTACCTTTGCAGGCCAGAGGCGGTGACTCGTGAGGGTGCTTCGGTTGTGCTACTGTCCTCTGTTTGAGGTTGTCATGTCAAGTACTGGACCTGCTCTCGCCTATAAAACGCTACTTCGAAAAATTTAGGATCAAACCTGTCATAGGTGATGGAACCAAAATTGCTGTACAACTCAGTCGCTACAGCTCCTCAACCAAGAGATCACCGCACTACAATCGCTCGTGAGACCTTATCCTGCGCTTCTGTTTACGGGCTTTGAGTTCTGACTTAAATGCAAAAGCTTTACACCCTCGCAAATTATGAGAGCTCATAACCCGCTTGCGAGATGCTCAAGCACACTACATTGTAGAGCAGGGAGTCCTGATTATCAAACAGCAAGGAACATATTCGAAAGAGTTCTCACTTTTTATATGAAAATCTGTGTAATAAAAAAAAGCCACCACTTATGGGCCATCCCAATAATTGGCAGTATAGAGCCAAGAAGTGGCAAGAAATGTAGTGAAGATAGCCTCTTATCTATTTTTTGTTGATATGACAACCTATCATCCGTCATCAATGTTCCCATCACTAAATCTCTATAGTTTGAAAGTGTAAAAGCTCTGCAGCAACCACAACGGCAATGTTCCTTATCAGCTCCTTCAAGTTTATCACTTTCTGTCACTCGCCATCGATGTCTCCTCACCCGCTATACCATTTGCTGGGACCAACGCCTCGCTAATGCAGTGACTTGCATTGTGAGTATGGTGACCTTGTCCTTCCACGGCCCCTTATCGAACCCTATCGGCTGCTAAAAGTTCTTGTCACCCATCAGTAATATGTCATATCTTGGAACTAACGTCCCGCTATTGTTGTGATTCGCGGGAGCGTAGCAACAGCGAATAAACTTCAAACTT